CGCAGTCTTACCTGATGCGCATTTGCGCAAAAACTTTCCGGCATATCGGGACAGCGCACGGTATATCCCGAGATACCGGAACTCGCGCACCGACTCGTCCTGAAGGACCCGGCGCATCTCCAACGCAAGGTCCCTAGGATCAGCAGACCTATCGCGATCCTCCCACTGGATGGCCAGCTTGATGAGCCGGTTCTCCACCTCGTCCTCTGTCCTGCTCCTCGGCGCTGTCGCTTTCCAATCCACGGACCCAGCCGGCAAATCCGTGGACGACCTGTCGTCTGATGACGACGAGGGGGGAGCCAGGCCTACACCCCCCCCACGCCGGTTCCTAGTTACCGACCCTAGGACAGTCTCTTCTTTCTTGGAGCTCCTCATGTCTGAAAAAAGAAATTGGTTTTTTCTGTCGGGGGTTTTCCTTCCCCTTAGGAGGTTGCCTTGCCTGGCTAACGGGGCCTCCCCCCCGGGTGTTATCTTCGGTGTTTTCCTTCACCTAGTGCAGTGGACAAGTCCTTTTTAGGGCCTGCACGCCCATCGCACCTCGTTCATCCATCACCACACACTCCAGCTCGGGTACCTCGGGATTGCGACACCCGTACACTACAGGGATGAGTCTGTAGTGCCCCTGAGGGAAACCTAACCTAACCTAACCTAACCTAACCTAACCTTTTTTTTTTTTTTTTTTTTTTAGTCAGGAAATTTGCCTAAACCAAACTTCGCCGTCCTGACCCCTGAGGGAGGGTCGGGAGGCTTTGTGGTGGATTCCCGCCCGTAGTATCCCGAGGGACTATCGGGCGGGGGACCGACCTAAAACCTGACTGAAGCCCCTGGTCGTATGGGTACTGTCCACCGCGGAACCGCGTTTTAGCATAACTTCACGGTGGACACCCGACCGGCGTCCTGAGGTAGGACACATCCCCCGGAGGGATACTACAGGTATCCCCCCGGAGAGGACATTCCCTTGCCCCGAAAGGGCATCGGAGGGAGCCGGGCTACTAGCTCCCCCCGGACTTCCCTGGGTCGACGTGCAATGGGATCAAGGCCCCCACCCTTCTCCCTGCCGAACCCGGTTAGTGAGACGACCGCAGCCGCCCACCCCACATTTAAGACGCCACAGAACGTCACCAACTATGTGGACAAACATATATACAGACATATACACGTCCACAACGAAACCAAATAAGGGCCACAGGCCCAGCCCTCAAGGGGCCAACAGTAAAGGCACAGTAGCCAAAAACATATAAAGGTGGTGCATGATGTTCACACCACCTATAGACGAAGGACAAGAAAACTAAGACAAAACACATATACCTGGCGCGGACAAGGGGGCCGCAGAGTCACCTTTCGGCAACCTCCCCGGCGCCCCAAGCCCATCACCGCTACCTAATGAAAAGGACATAACAAAGGACATAACAACATTACCCAACTGCTGAGGCAGCCGCGATCTCCAAAGGTCGTCCCCCATCAGGACGGCCCGGAGCCTGGCGCCTATCCTTCGCCCCGGATGATCGTTGCCCGGGAGGAAGGGGGAACGAAACGCACCCCCGACCCCCCAGGACATGTCGAGCCGACTCCCCACCGTCCGAGCAAGCCGGACAACGGGGAGTGGCGACGCACCCCGCCGCTTGGTGTCCCTCGACACCACAGCGGTAACAGCACCGCGAGCGATCCGCGTCCGACGCACAATTTACCCGCGCATGCCCCAGTTTGAGGCATCTGAAACACCTCAGAGGCCGGGCACGAAGCGCCTCGACCTCCAGGGTGTTCCAGCCTACCCGAAGTCTACCCGTTGACAAGGCCTTTCGGCCAACAGCCAACGGGCAACGCACCCAAAGGGTGCTCAAGGGGGACCGCGGCAAGGGCCGAACCGACCCGATCCGGATATCCCCCGCGTCACATCCCCCCAGAGATCCCAGCGCCTCCAAAATCTCCTCGCGCGAGGCAGTCTCCTCCCCCATAGTACCACGAAGCCTGAGCTCCATGGTTTTCCGGGGGCGGGAGACCACCACATCTCCTCCCGAGAAGACCTCCCGTAGTCTGTCTGCAAACAGATCCGCCTTCGCAGCCGTGTCTTTTCCAGGGACCTGCAAAAGCAGGCCCCCAGTCACACCAAACCTCATCTTCATCGGGCCAATGCCCAACTCCTCGGGGTCAACACGCGACTTCGCCTCCTTCAAAATGTCCGAGTAGGACCGGCCCCTCGTAGAAACGAGTTGTACGGCCGACCCACTCGGAACCCGCGCAGCCCGAACCCGGCCCCGACGCGCACCCAACCCAGGGCCAACCGCAGGGCCCGATGCCCGAGCCCCCCCAGGACCCAGGCCACCCGACCCACCGACAACCGTAACAGTCGCCGATGAAGCAGGCAACCCAGCCCCCGGAGAGCAGGCCGCCGATATACCGCCACGACCCCGCCTCCCCCGCTTACGCATGGAGAGGACAGGGGAAACCTCGCTGGTAGAGGGAGCGGAGGCAGCCAGAACTGCCCCACTCCCCCGAGACTCCAGTGAGGACCTGAGGGACTCTACAGCCCGCCTCAGGCCCCCAAGCGCCCCAGAAAGACGCTCATCGATAAGGAGACCCACCCGCGCTATTAGCTGCTGGTGTGGGTCATCCCGCAAAGCAACATCAGAGGAGGGCTCAAATAGAGTCCCCCGAACCGCAGAGACAGTCCCCTCACCGGAAATTTCCGGTTCAGAGTCCGCCCCCCTACTTCGCTTCCGCCGCGACTTCCTCTTTCGAGGGGGCGCTTCCTTCTCCCCAGAAGAGGGAGGAAGGGGAGCAGCCAATCTCCTCATCAACTCCAGCTCTTCAAGGAGTTTCACATTTTGAGCCTCCAGTGAGGCAACTCGAGCTTCAAGTCTCTCGACTTCCTCCGCATAAGCCCGGCAGTTGTTCGCCAGGATCTGCTCTCGGTCGAGGACCTCCACCGGGCTAAGACGCAATCCAGGCTCCGACACGTCGAGCGCGCCATCCGACCTCCCAGGGGAGGCAGAGGCAGCGCCCAACGCGTCTTCACCCATAGTGACCTCAAGGGCCCCCTCATCGCTGTCTCCACGCAGCCTCTCCAGAGAGGGGGGCCGAGGACGATCCCTCAATGATCCATCAGGGACACACTCATGCGCCCCGCAGAACGCAGTCTTACCTGATGCGCATTTGCGCAAAAACTTTCCGGCATATCGGGACAGCGCACGGTATATCCCGAGATACCGGAACTCGCGCACCGACTCGTCCTGAAGGACCCGGCGCATCTCCAACGCAAGGTCCCTAGGATCAGCAGACCTATCGCGATCCTCCCACTGGATGGCCAGCTTGATGAGCCGGTTCTCCACCTCGTCCTCTGTCCTGCTCCTCGGCGCTGTCGCTTTCCAATCCACGGACCCAGCCGGCAAATCCGTGGACGACCTGTCGTCTGATGACGACGAGGGGGGAGCCAGGCCTACACCCCCCCCACGCCGGTTCCTAGTTACCGACCCTAGGACAGTCTCTTCTTTTTCTAGCCGCTCATCATCTGAAAAAAGAAATTGGTTTTTTCTGTCGGGGGTTTTCCTTCCCCTTAGGAGGTTGCCTTACTCAGCTAACGGGGCCTCCCCCCCGGGTGTTATCTTCGGTGTTTTCCTTCACCTAGTGCAGTGGACAAGTCCTTTTTAGGGCCTGCACGCCCATCGCACCTCGTTCATCCATCACCACACACTCCAGCTCGGGTACCTCGGGATTGCGACACCCGTACACTACAGGGATGAGTCTGTAGTGCCCCTGAGGGAAACCTAACCTAACCTAACCTTTTTTTTTTTTTTTTTTTTATAGTCAGGAAATTTGCCTAAACCAAACTTCGCCGTCCCGACCCCTGAGGGAGGGTCGGGAGGCTTTGTGGTGGATTCCCGCCCGTAGTATCCCGAGGGACTATCGGGCGGGGGACCGACCTAAAACCTGACTGAAGCCCCTGGTCGTATGGGTACTGTCCACCGCGGAACCGCGTTAGCATAACTTCACGGTGGACACCCGACCGGCGTCCTTTAGGAAGGACACATCCCCCGAGAGGATACTACAGGTATCCCCCCGGAGAGGACATCCCTTGCCCCGAAAGGGCATCGAGGGAGCCGGGCTACTAGCTCCCCCCGGACTTCCCAGGGTCGACGTGCAATGAGAGCGGGGCCCCCACCCCTCTCTCTGCCAACCCGGTCAGTGAGACGGCCGCAGCCGTCCACCCCACACTTAGACGTCACAGGACGATTACAGTACATAACGTGCACGAAACATGTACACAAACCACATTGATACATAGTAAGGGCCACAGGCCCAGCCCCCAAGGGAGCCCACAACAAGGCGCTATGGCCAACCACAATAAAGGTGGGAGGGTTGTTACTCCCACCTATGACAAAGGACAATAACTATGAACAACGTGAACTTGGCGTGGGTGAAGAGGCCGCGGAGTCACCTCTCGGCAACCTCCCCGACGCTCCACCACCCATCGCCGCGACCTACAACATGAACTTGGCGGGGCAGGGAGACCACGGAGTCACCTTTCGGCAACCTCCCCGGAACCCCCCGCATCCCACCGCTACTCACTACAACAATGGACAAAAACGACACTAGACATCAGGGGCAGTACTGCAGCCCGGGACAGGGGAGCCGCCTCTCCGCGACCCCCCCGCCCCCGACTACAGTCCACCACCGTCCATTCCGGGCTCACGGAGACCCCCCATCAGGACGCCCCGGAGCCTGCGCGCGCTCAGCAGCAGGCACGATCTCCCGAGACCTCTTAGGAGGCACGCGTACACGAGCGCAAACCGTCGACCCGCAGCGATGTCCAGAGGGTTTCCCCCTGGACGCACACGAATGACATCGCGGCGGAGCCACGCAGCTGGCCGCCTTGTGCCCCGCGCAACCACACCTGTAGCACGCACCGCTACGATCAGTGTCAGCTCCGCAACCATTGGCCGAATGACCAAATTCGTGACACCGATAACACTGCAGAGGGCGACGGGCCAGATGAACAACATCTAGCCTCTCCCATCCCCCGACATCACAATGCTACCGGCAGCGACGAGCCTCCGCGCCACTCCAGACGGGCAACGAATCCACAGCGTCCCGAAACCCGTTCCGGGAGACAATCGGATCACACCTGCTTGCAGATCCTCAGCCTTACAGCCCCCAACCGAGGCAACCCTGTCAAGGATGTCCTGGCGACCAACAAAGGCCATCATCCCCTTTATACGAATGTCTTCCGTTCGTGAGGGGCGGCCAACTCTGATTGTTCCTGATGACGGGAACACTTCCTTCATCTTTTCCGCAAGTGCGTCTGCCTTCACGGACGAATCTCTACCTCGAACCGACAACAAAATGCTGCCGGTTACTCCTCTCCTCATGTGCATGGACTCTATCCCTAACTCCTTGGCGTCTATTTTAGACTTAGCCTCGGATAATACCGAGGCATAAGTCCTATCCCGTTCACCCCTCCCCATCGTCAGCGTAATTACCGACGCAGAGGAAGGGGGAGGAATTCGACTCTTCCTCTTTGGGGCAGGAGCACCCGAAGAAGGGAACCTCTTAGCAGAGGGCCCCCCACGACGACGACGACGTCTACCTCTTATACTAGCCCCGGGGCAGAGGCATCCACCGAAGCCTCTGCAAGAGCAGAGGCGGCAGAGCCCCCGGCCACGGGACCAGCCGATGGCCCACTGACACCGACAACACTTGCCCTGGGCGCACGCCTGGGGATCACTTCCGGAGAAGAGTCCCCAGCCCGCCCAGTAAGCAAAGGCTTAATGTTAGCCAACACGGCAGCAGATATATCGACCCTAAGGTCGGCAAAACGCCTGTCCAGTATGGACGACAAGTCCTCCATAGTAACGAGGTGACTCCCGGCCAAATCCGTCTCCGTCACCACCTGTCCCGACGGCGATCCCGGCGATGATGCCGGACAAGGCCGCTTCCTCGCTCCCTTATCGCCAAAGAAGTATTCGGCCTCCAGCTGCGGAATGGCCGCCCGGAAGCTCGCCATCTCCGCCTCGACCCTATCTCGATCGCGCTCCAGAGCCGCAATCCGTTCTCGCAGTCCCCGGTTCTCGCTCCTCAAGGCCTCGGTCTGCGGATCCGTCCCAACAGTGGCCCGCCTGGCCATCTCGTCAAAGATGCCCACAAGTCTCATTGAAGACACCCGAAGATCCCTGGCCACGATTTCATCGAGACCAGTGATATCGGATGCCTTCTCCACTTGTGTGGCAGACAACCCGGCCAACCTTCGGAGCTCCAAGTTGGTGACTTTCCCAAGGCCGGATCTAAAAACTTCGTCCGAGGGAATATTCTCCCTTCCTACCGCAGCGAGGTCTGGACCCAAACTAGGATCCAATAATCTATTCAGATCCTTCAAAAGGACCTCCTGCCTTTCAGCGCGTAAGACCCGCTCTTTGGCCTCCGCGATATTAACATAGTCCCCAGTTGTTTTGGGGCGACCACGCTTAGTACGTCCGGCACACTTACCTGCAGTATTTTTGCGGGGGTACTGCTTCCTCCCAGTTAGTAGGCGCTTGTCCGAAACCTGGAAGTCCGCATCTCTCCCATCGTCCTCCGGTGAGCTCGGCGAGGAGACCGTGATGAAGCTCACCTCCGGTTCACACTCACCGTCACTTGCACCCCGCACTTTTTCCGGTGAGGGAAGAGGCTGAGAACAGTCACTTTCCCCATCTACTGTTCCTCCAGTCACTGACTCTGCGGTGCTAACCGCAATAACTGGTTCGAAGAACTGTACGCAAACGTGTTTGGCACAGAACTTCGTTTCGCGTCGCGAACACTCCCGAAAAAGACGTCCATGTATTTCGCGAGGTCCTTATATACATGGTGGGCCTGATAGCACCGAACCACTTTATCCAGAAGGACTCGGCGAATACGCGCAGCAAGTTCCTTCGGATCAACACTTCGATCACGAGTATCCCAGCTATGAGCTAGGTCCCGTAATCGCTCGCACACCGTGTCCCTCTCACTCCTCGGCACTGTCGCTGTCTTGTCTGCAGCCCCAGCCGGCAAAGCTGCAGACGACCTGTCGTCCGTTGACGACATGGAGGGAGCCAGGCCTACACCCCCCCCACGCCGGTTCCTGGTATCCGATCCCAGGACGATCGCTTCTTTATTAGACTCCATCATCTGTAAAAAGAAATTGGTTTTTTCTGTCGGGGGTTTTCCTTCCCCTTAGGAGGTTGCCTTGCCTGGCTAACGGGGCCTCCCCCCCGGGTGTTATCTTCGGTGTTTTCCTTCACCTAGTGCAGTGGACAAGTCCTTTTTAGGGCCTGCACGCCCATCACACCCCATTCATCCGTCACCACACACTCCAGCTCGGGTACCTCGGGATTGCGACACCCGTACACTACAGGGATGAGTCTGTAGTGCCCCTGAGGGAAACCTAACCTAACCTAACCTTTTTTTTTTTTTTTTTTATAGTCAGGAAATTTGCCTAAACCAAACTTCGCCGTCCCGACCCCTGAGGGAGGGTCGGGAGGCTTTGTGGTGGATTCCCGCCCGTAGTATCCCGAGGGACTATCGGGCGGGGGACCGACCTAAAACCTGACTGAAGCCCCTGGTCGTATGGGTACTGTCCACCGCGGAACCGCGTTAGCATAACTTCACGGTGGACACCCGACCGGCGTCCTTTAGGAAGGACACATCCCCCGAGAGGATACTACAGGTATCCCCCCGGAGAGGACATCCCTTGCCCCGAAAGGGCATCGAGGGGAGCCGGGCTACTAGCTCCCCCCGGACTTCCCAGGGTCGACGTGCAATGAGAGCGGGGCCCCCACCCCTCTCTCTGCCAACCCGGTCAGTGAGGTGACCGCAGTCACCCACCCCACACTTAACGTCACAGGACGACTATAGTACATAACGTGCACGAAACATGTACACAAACCACATTGACATAGTAAGGGCCACAGGCCCAGCCCCCAAGGGAGCCCACAACAAGGCGCTATGGCCAACCACAATAAAGGTGGGAGGGTTGTTACTCCCACCTATGACAAAGGACAATAACTATGAACAACATGAACTTGGCGTGGGTGAAGAGGCCGCGGAGTCACCTCTCGGCAACCTCCCCGACGCTCCATCACCCATCGCCGCGACCTACAACATGAACTTGGCGGGGCAGGGAGACCACGGAGTCACCTTTCGGCAACCTCCCCGGAACCCCCCGCATCCCACCGCTACTCACTACAACAATGGACAAAAACGACACTAGACATCGGGGCAGTACTGCAGCCCGGGACGGGGGAGCCGCCTCTCCGCGACTTCCCCCGCCCCCGACTACAGTCTACCCCGTCCATTCCGGGCTCACGGAGACCCCCATCAGGACGCCCCGGAGCCTGCGCGCGCTCAGCAGCAGGCGATCCTCCCGAGACTCTTGGGAGGCACGCGCACACGAGCGCAAACCGCCGACCCGCAGCGGTGTCCAGAGGGTTTCCCCTCGACCACACGAATGACATCGGGGCGGCGCCACGCAGTGGCCGCCCTGTGCCCCGCGCAACCACACCGTAGCACGCACCACTACGATCAGTGTCGCTCCGCAACCATTGGCCGAATGACCAAACTCGTGACACCGATAACACTGCAGGGGCGACGAGCCAGATGAAAACATCTAGCCTCTCCCATCCCCCGACATCACAATGCTACCGGCAGCACGAGCCTCCGCGCCACTCCAGACGGGCAACGAATCCACATCGTCCCGAAACCCGTTCCGGGAAATCGAATCACCCTGCTTGCAGATCCTCAGCCTTACAGCCCCCAACCGAGGCAACCCTGTCAAGGATGTCCTGGCGACCAACAAAGGCCATCATCCCCTTTATACGAATGTCTTCCGTTCGAGAGGGGCGGCCAACTCTGATTGTTCCTGATGACGGGAACACTTCCTTCATCTTTTCCGCAAGTGCATCTGCCTTCACGACGAATCTCTACCTCGAACCGACAACAAAATGCTGCCAGTTACTCCTCTCCTCATGTGCATGGACTCTGCCCAACTCCTTGGCGTCTATTTTAGACTTAGCCTCGGATAATACCGAGGCATAAGTCCTATCCCGTTCACCCCTCCCCATCGTCAGCGAAATTACCGACGCAGAGGAAGGGGGAGGAATTCGACTCTTCCTCTTTGGGGCAGGAGCACCCGAAGAAGGGAACCTCTTAGCAGAGGGCCCCCCACGACGACGACGACGTCTACCTCTTGTACTAGCCCCGGGGGCAGAGGCATCCACCGAAGCCTCTGCAAGAGCAGAGGCGGCAGAGCCCCCGGCCACGGGACCAGCCGATGGCCCACTGACACCGACAACACTTGCCCTGGGCGCACGCCTGGGGATCACTTCCGGAGAAGAGTCCCCAGCCCGCCCAGTAAGCAAAGGCTTAATGTTAGCCAACACGGCAGCAGATATGTCGACCCTAAGGTCGGCAAAACGCCTGTCCAGTATGGACGACAAGTCCTCCATAGTGACGAGGTGACTCCCGGCCAAATCCGTCTCCGTCACCACCTGTCCCGACGGCGATCCCGGCGATGATGCCGGACAAGGCCGCTTCCTCGCTCCCTTATCGCCAAAGAAGTATTCGGCCTCCAGCTGCGGAATGGCCGCCCGGAAGCTCGCCATCTCCGCCTCGACCCTATCTCGATCGCGCTCCAGAGCCGCAATCCGTTCTCGCAGTCCCCGGTTCTCGCTCCTCAAGGCCTCGGTCTGCGGATCCGTCCCAACAGTGGCCCGCCTGGCCATCTCGTCAAAGATGCCCACAAGTCTCATTGAAGACACCCGAAGATCCCTGGCCACGATTTCATCGAGACCAGTGATATCGGATGCCTTCTCCACTTGTGTGGCAGACAACCCGGCCAACCTTCGGAGCTCCAAGTTGGTGACTTTCCCAAGGCCGGATCTAAAAACTTCGTCCGAGGGAATATTCTCCCTTCCTACCGCAGCGAGGTCTGGACCCAAACTAGGATCCAATAATCTATTCAGATCCTTCAAAAGGACCTCCTGCCTTTCAGCGCGTAAGACCCGCTCCTTGGCCTCCGCGATATTAACATAGTCCCCAGTTGTTTTGGGGCGACCACGCTTAGTAGTCCGGCACACTTACCTGCAGTATTTTTGCGGGGGTACTGCTTCCTCCCAGTTAGTAGGCGCTTGTCCGAAACCTGGAAGTCCGCATCTCTCCCATCGTCCTCCGGTGAGCTCGGCGAGGAGACCGTGATGAAGCTCACCTCCGGTTCACACTCACCGTCACTTGCACCCCGCACTTTTTCCGGTGAGGGAAGAGGCTGAGAACAGTCACTCTCCCCATCTACTGTTCCTCCAGTCACTGACTCTGCGGTGCTAACCGCAATAACTGGTTCGAAGAACTGTACGCAAACGTGTTTGGCACAGAACTTCGTTTCGCGTCGCGAACACTCCCGAAAAAAGACGTCCATGTATTTCGCGAGGTCCTTATACATGATGGGCCTGATAGCACC